CAGCTGATCAAGCTATAATTTGAGGTAACAGGTCAGGACGGAGGAAGATACACAGATAAAGAACCTAGAACCTGGAAAGGAAGCTATGAAGGAATTAGACAAGATCCCGAAGCGTAATGATATATCATTGAATACCAAAGTTAGGATTGTCCGTGCCGTTGTATTTCCAGTTTCTATGCATGGCTGTGAAAATGGACTGTGAAGAAAGCTGATAGGAAGAAAATCATCTCCTTTGAGATATGATGCTGGAGAAGAGTTCTCTATATACTGTGGACTGCTGAGAAGACAAACAAATCGGTTCTAGAGCAGATCAAGCCTGAACTCTCTCTCAAAGCCAAGATGACGAAAATGAGACTATCATACTTTGGACATATTATGATGTGACTCACTGGAAAAGTCAATAACGCTTGGTAAGGTAGAAAGCAGTAGGAAAATAGGAAGACTACATTCCAGATGGATCGACTCAGTCAAGGAAGCCAAGGCTCTAAGTCTGGAAGACCTGAGGAGGTGACTTAGAAGTATCTTATTCATACGATCACCATAAGTTGAAGTTGATTTTAGGGCAGTCAACAACAAGCAAGACAAAATCTGGTCAAGAAATTGTGCTGCAAATGTTTCAGTATACCCCACAACTGTTCCGATTTGGCAGGGACAGTCTTGATGAATCCCTTGTCTTCTCACTTTGAACAGCTTCTTTAAAAATGTCCCTTTTCCCAATGTATGCTTTAAAATGTTTTAATATTATTTATAACTTAAGTCTATTTTAATTCTGACTTTTTATATGCTTTGAACAATATCATAACCGTTGTCACTTGAAAGTCTCACTGAGTCCCAGTTTTGGGGAAACGGTGATATATAAATAAAATTAATAACAACATACACAAAACCTGACTGAATTGTAATCTCCTGCAAAAAAATAACCTTTTTGAACTCTGCATGCTGTGGCACACAAGTACAGCCAGACTATCCCTGTGCAAGAGCTACAACTCAACTGGCCCATAATTCTTTTGAAAACCAGCTGGGTCGTAGCGCAAACCAAAGAAGAAACCGAGCTTCTGCTTTTCTGCCTACTCAGCTGTTTCTCTGGGTTTCCCATTTGTGTGTTGCTTGGGATGTTGCAGAAGCTGCAACCTTGTAAGGCCAATTACAGACTTTTATTACAGTGGTATGGCAAATTATGTTTGCATTGCAATGCTGCATAAGCATCACTTCATGGATTTAGGGTAATTTATTTTCTGAGATATGAATCAACAAGCATGCATTATGTAAGAGGTGTAGGTCCTTTTATATCCTCTCTCTCTCTGGATGATGATTGCAGTCTATTATTCTTTGATCCTTAGTGGGTGGACTTTCTGTGAAACCAGCTTGACTCCTGATTATACAATTATTTTCTTCCACTCATGCATCTGGGACACTGTTCTCAGCCTCCTCCTGGGCGTAACACACACAAACCCCAGGGCACAAAATGGCAACCACATACCTCCCAACATTTCATAAATGAAAATTGGGACACCTGCGGCCAAGCAACATCAGAGTGTGGTTAAGATGAAAGAAGGCATGAATGAGGGAAAATGGACAAGCTAGGACAGGCTGCAGCAGTTGGCTTTTGCTTGAGCTTACTGGGAAGGACAAGATCTTGCCCTCCTTCATCTCTCCCACTAGCTGAGTTCGTTAATGCAAACTACGTTTGTACTTTGAATGTAGTTTGCAGCAATTGAACTGAGGACAAAGGGGAAAAGTGGGAGGGGAGAGAGAAACTGGGACATTTTAAAAACAGCTGAAGAAATGGTACTATTATTTCCCTCAATCCAGTCATTATACTTCTGTTGATGCAGCCTAGACTTGCATAGCTAAAAAAAAAACCTGTGCAATTCTAGGCTGCTTCAACAGAAGTATGATGACTGGGTTGAGGGAAATAATGGTATCCCTCTATTCTGCTTTGGTCAGACCTCATCTGGAATACAGT